CCTAGACTGACTTGAGCCCGTTTCCTGCGGCACAGACGTCGGTTTGGCGCCGGGAAAAGCCCGACGACGGGTGACGGGGGTAGGGATTGCGCCATCCGTTATCAGATGATGACATGCGGCGATCTCGCATCTCCAATTGCCTCGACCAAGTAGAATTATTGTATTGCTTGGTAAGTGCCGCGGGGTAAAATGCGAGTGTGACACCATGGAGAAGGATGAAACCAAATCAACTTGCTATTATTGGTCTCTTGATGGTTGAGGATTTGGTGGGGGTTTGAGTCCTGCGGAGACGTCGCGGTGCCGTGTTGGCTCGACTAATACGGGCAGCGAGATCCGGCGTGAAGCCGTCCGGAGTCGCAGTCAAGGTTCATAGTTAAAATGGCGAGCTTGGAACCCGGGCTTTGGGTGTATTGGAGAAAACCTTGACAGAGATCAACCAGCCCCCGAAGAAAAGATACTCCGCCTCACCGCCCAAAATGCCGTCTGCCGTGTCCGAATTGTACCAATACACCCACGTCCCAGAGACGGAGGAGAACCTCGATTGGGCTGACCGTAAGTCTTGGCTCACCATATTTTCACGCAACGCTCTACAGGACTTGCAAGCTGACAGGTACCCGAAGTTCCCACCATTGACCTTGCAAAGTATGGAACACCAGAGGGAAACAAGGAGCTTGCCGAGACTTTGATCGAGGCCATCCGTACCAAGGGCTTTTTCTATGTTATCAACTATGGCATCTCGCAAGAGGCGGTCGACGCACAGTTTGCTCTTGGCCAGAAATTTTACGAGCTGCCTTTGGACGAGAAACTCAAGTATGAGCCGGATTTGGACTCTGGAGACTACAACGGATACCGTCCCGCTGGTCGGCGGTTTTTGAGCGGTGGCCTTAAGGATAAGACAGAAGTTTGGAACATGGCGAGTGAGTGCTTCAATCTGCCTCGGATGGAGAGGGCGTTGCTGACAGATGCAATACAGCTCGCGCTGGACATATCACACAGCCTCTGCCCAAGCTTTTGGAAGACCGCAAGGAAGATATTGAAGGATTTGCAAAGGTAATATACAAGCTCATTTCGTCGTACGTAGGATATCGTGACTGACGCCAGACTCAGGACCTTCATGACAAGGTGCTGGACCCCCTGAACCACCTCATCGCCCTGGCCTTGGAGCTGCCCGAGGACTTCTTCACACGCGTGCACAAGTGGGAGACTCACGATGAGTCTCACCTGCGCTATATGAAGTATTCTAAGTTCACTCCGGAAGAGATCAAGCAGCTCGACGATGGCTTGTGGTCCCGCGGCCACACGGATCTGGGGACAATTACTCTGCTTTTCCGTCAACCTGTGGCCGCTCTGCAAATCAGGGATCATGAGACCGGCGACTGGAAGTGGGCCAAGCCGCTTGATGGCAGTCTTACCGTCAATACGTGCGATGCCCTCAGCTTCCTGACGGGTGGTTACGTCAAGTCTACGGTTCACCGGGTGAGTGAAACTTCATCCCTACAACTTGACTTACCCTCTACAGTTTGCTAATTCGGGAAACAGGTATCTGTGCCGCCTAAAGACCAGCGCCATGTCGATCGCCTGGGTTTGTTGTACTTTGCGCGTCCTCAGAACGACCTCGTACTGAAGACGATTGACTCGCCGGTGCTGAAGCGCGAAGGCTTCACTCAGAATGAGTTCGAGGCTGGCGGCCATCCGGTGCCGACTATGGGAGAGTTTACTACCCTCAAGCAGACTTGGCAACAAAGGAAGGGTGTCAGCTACCAGAACTCAGAAGGACAGGAGATCCTCCCGGGATTCAAAGGTCAATTCTTCAAGTGAGACAGACGGGCTTTCGTAGCCGTTTGGAAACACGAGTCTTGAACATATGTGTCTGAATAGAAAGAGAATTCGCGATCGTGGCGGTCACAAAACGGGCACGTTATGTTTTGTGATGGTCAATACGAAGGAATTTGTTTGGTAAATCGTCACCCACTTAACCATGTACTACACAGACTGGTCAAAGAATACTTTGAATAAATCCACCTAGTTGTCTAGACGCAACATCAGCTGCGATCCGATCCTGTCTCATTCCCAGTATTGCTTGCGAGTGTCTTCGACTGTTCGATCCAATCGAAAGAGCGACTCCCCTCTTGCGTCATTCCCTTTCTTGGCTTTTTTTTACACCTTCATTAGATGTTCAGATTGACTGGCAGGGTCCGAAGAAGAACAAAGCCAATGTGTAACCGTCGGCTTCTGTGCCACACAAACATAGGCCTTTCACGAGTGAACAATTATGCCTCATCACACCTGCATCGAGTCTCGACGGGGTACACCATTGCGTTCTAAATGTTTTATTATACTCTCCCAACTTCTTCTCATGAGAGATTCCGTCAGCTTTTCCATCCTAAGCCCTGCTCTCATTGCCCAATATCCTTCAATAAACTCGAAGTCAAAAGCAAAAGCAAAAGCAAAACGGTCTATTTGACGTCTTCAACAAATCTCAGCTCTCATCTGTCTTCTATACCTTCTTCGCCACCTTTTAGTTGGAGCTCAGAGAATTCGAGCGAAGAAAACTCCAAATCCCAACCGCCTGGAGGTGTCGCCAGCTTGCATGTTGGTGTAGCGGATGTCCCTCTCATCCCTGACCACGTTACTAGTCACGACCCTGGTCACATCGCTAGTCACATCGCTAGTCACATCGCTGAGCCCATTGAAACCTCGAATTATGACTTCCACCGATTTGATGAGGATCCCAACTTTGAAGACCCTCATGGAAGAACGGCTTTGCTCTATCTCACCCAGCACATAGTGCCTCAATATGAAATTATCAAGGAGCATATCCGTACCGGGGCCTTGCCCAAAGCTTCCTGCCCCCAGAGGTGCTGCACACCGCTTATCAACGTTATTAAAAGAGCGAACCTCAGTAGAGAAGAAGACAAGAAAGTCATCAGGTATCTCACTCTCAGAGAAATAGCCGATGTCAATTTGGACAACTCTCGATACGGTTCGACCTTGAACAAGGCATGCTACGACGGCAACTTGTAAATGATCAGGTTTCTTACTCGGGAATGCGGCGCAAGCGCAAGCTTCATCTCAAAGGGTTTGTTCGGCAGTGCCTTGCAGGCCGCATGCCTGTCCAAGGCGGATAAAAACGTCATATGTCAAATGATCCGACATCTCGCAGGAGAAGCCAGAGCAGATATCAACGCAAAATGTGGATTCTTTGGCACGGCGCTCAACATTGCTTGCCTGTTGCAATCTGACGAACCTTGGAAGCTTATCTTAGACAAGCTTGGAGGTCACTCGAATGTCGCTGATCCGATGGGCCGTTTGCCGATTCACTTCGCAGCTGTCTTCTCATGTAGTAGATACAAGCTCATTTCCCGGCAGCCCCGACTGAGGACCGTACCTTTGCTTTCCGCAGACAAGACCGGTCGCACTGTTCTACACTGGGCAGCTCAGAGCGGAGATGTTAACACCGTCAAGGACATTCTCACATCTGACAAAATCGAGGTTAATGTCGATCAAGCCGACAAGCATGGCTGGACGGCCTTATGCTGGGCTGCTCGGGGTCTGACATCAGGGGCAAAGTTCAAGGAAAGACCTCCTCAGGGTCAAACAGACATTATCAAATACCTTCTCGGGTGCGATGCCGATCTCACGGTATCGGTTCCGGGAGATGCAGGTCAGAGGTGGACTCCATTGCAAATCGCTATTTTCCACAACAGTGGGGAAAATGTCATTGCCGCTTTGGCCGAATCGACCTCGATGGAGCAAAAATCAAAGTTGTTCACGGAATCATCTCCTCTACAGACGGGTTATGTACACGACAAACCAGCTTGCATTTGTTGTCGATCGGTATGTGTTTTCCTGTGTCTTGCACGATGAGCTGTCTGGCCCGGGTGCCGAATTCAGTGTGTTACTAATGACTTGGATCACATAGCCCATCATTGGCACAGCATGGTCCTGCCAGTCTTGTGTGGACTTCAAGCTTTGTTTCAAATGTTACTTCATTCGCGAAGAAATTCATCCTGGACCTCCACCAGGTCCTAACCATCTTCAAGATGATCTTCATGAGTTCCAGAAGAGCGATTTGGTATTCGGCGATGGCCTCCATCAGGAAGTTCTGAAGACATGGATGAAGAGGTGAAGCCGTTTCGGCTCACACCTACCTTTTATAGGCGACAAAGATGAGTCTTGATCTCTTGAAGCGACAGAGAGAGAATAAGACCATTGCCCAGTAGCAGAACTTAGAGATACTAGGACCAACTCATGAGATTCTTGCTTCGCAAAGAGTGTGCCAAAACTTAAATGTCGTGGACTGAATGAATGAGACTTAGATATAATGATGAGGGAGGCTGGAGCTTCCGGATGGATGGCAGTCCGGGTATCTACCTTGCTTTGAGGGAAAGTCTTGCAAAAGGATGAGAGATGGCAAGGCCTTGGCAAGCAGACCTGAACCTTGTCCCGAAATAGAGAGACGTAATAACTCAATCACCTAAAGAACTCCTCCACCATCCGCCGCAGGTCTTCGGAGCAGCCAATGAGTATGCGGTTAGCTCGTCTAGCTCTAGCGCCCAAAAAGTCCAACGCTTCCCCCCTCATCTCCACTAAACACTATCAATCGTTCGTCAAAAATGACTCGAAAGCGCGACGCTAAGGATGGACTTAGTCGGCTATCCTTTCCTCTTCTCAAATTCGCGGGGACTCTTAGTGAACTCTGAATATGGCGAGTCGTCCGAGCCCCGGGCCCTATGCTGACATTGTCGAACACCAACACAGTCCTCCAGTCGCAGTGATTACTCTTGACTTATAGGATCGTCTTGGCACGTAAGATTTCGGCGTTCACTATCCTCATCTGGCAAAGGATGAGCGCCATTCAAGGGGAAATTTTTGCAATAGTGGTCATCATTCATCAATAGAGCATCTAAATCTAAGAGGTATCGCGCACTCAAGTCCCAAACGAAACGCCAACGGTATCCCACGAAAAGACCAACAGCCAATTTTTCCTGTCAAGCACCTCAGCGCGCCACCTGGCCGCCAAGACCACTCTTGCAGATGACCGTTCCAGTTGTGGGCTGCTTGATCTTGTTACTATTGAAGTTCCAGAGACCCTTGCCACCGGAAATCATGGCAAGGCCGGTGGTAGTGCCGTCCTTGTTGGTGTAGCTCAGCTTCATCGCAACCGCGGCATCGTCGGTGCTGTTGGACTGGCAGCCGACGGTGAGGGTGCCGCTCTGAGACGAGACCCAGTTGAAGGTGGGCATCGTGACGACATCCTTGTACTTGACGGCTGCCGCCGAGCTGCTGGCAGCGGTGACAGGGGTTGTGCTTGTGCCCGTTCCAGTGCCCGTTCCAGTACCAGTGCCTGTGGTAGGGGTGGTAGCGGGAGGGCACTTGGAGTTGTCGTAGAGGGTGGCACCAGTCTGGGGGAAGGGGTTCAGCGGGCCCCAAAGGTTACCCTCGGCATCGCGACCCAGTCCCTTGGTCAAGAAAGCGTAACTACGGAAGTCGTGCGGGCTGGGAGGGCGACCGGGAACGGAGTCCTCGGGCTGGATCCATTCCGACACAGGCATGACGTACTGGCCGGCCATAATACCGTTCTTGGTCTTCACGGTGCCGGTGCCGGCGACAACGCGGTACTCGCGGGCGTAGTTGTCGTTCTGGGTCGCCTTGATGCGATACTCAAACTTGTTGCGCACCTCGGTGCCGGGCACGCTCACACCCGCGATCTCACGGTCGACGGCCTCGCCGGTGCACGGGTCGTACTCAATGGCGTAGATCTTGATGGGGTTGACATTCGCGGCAGAGTCAGATGTGTAGCCGACGAACTGTATTGTGTTAGCTACACGGACATTTCACGATGCGAAGACAATGGCATGGGAACTGACTCTAGTCTGTGCGATTTCCTGATTGACAGTGTCGGCGGTCCAAACACCAATGTTGGCATCCTCCATGCGGATGTACGTCGGAGCGCCCGTGGTGGTGATTTGGACGTTGCTAACGACGAGATTGTAGACGATGATCTCGCTACCGGACTGAACACCAGAGTACTCGACGAAATCACCAGCTACAATGGGAGCCATGACCAGGGCATCGGGTGCTTTGCTGAAAGATTGTTAAACATTTTCAGATGAAATGAAAGTGATCATCAAGACTTACAAAAGTCCTTGTTTGACGCCAGGAGTGACGTCTGGTCTGTTGGATTGTGGGCAGAGAGCATCAGTGGCGCTACGCGGAACGCACATGGGAAAGCCAGAGAAAGAGCTGATGCTTGGATTGGCGTCGTCTGCAGTGAAGAAAGGCTGGGAAGTGTATCCAACGGAGTAGATGGCGTTAGGGTCGTTGATACGGATGGTGCTTCCGTCCGTCAACTTGATCCGGCCATCAGTGTTCACGCTGTCAACGAAACCAGAGGCGCCATTCAGAAGCGATTGGGCGATTGAGACCTGAGCAGCGATGGGAACCCCGTTTACGACATTGCCCGTGACCTCGCAGTTGTAGCCAGCGTAGCCACCACTGCTGCCCACGAATTCCTTGTACGGTATGAAAGCCGCGGGGAATGTGACTTGAAGATTCTTGGGCACAGTGATAACGTGGCCATTGCACCTGAAGGTGCCACCTGTGTTGAAGTCTGTTGTGCTGGCAGAAGCTCTGCAGTGTCTTTGTCAGTCTGAAGTTCACCAAGGACCGTTTTATAACTGGAGGAACTCATGCTTACCCCTCGAAAGCGCCGTTAATGTCGAACGGATAGTCCGCAACTTGTGCTTGTACAGATGTAAAAGACACCGAAGCACTGAGGGCCGCGTAGAAGATTGACTTTGCCGAATACATGTTCAAGGTACGTCTGAGTCGGCTAGATCACTGTGCCAGATATCAGACTGTAAGAGATGAGAGTGGTGGATAACTTCATTTTGATCGAGATATCGCGATGAAACCCGGCACTTATGAATTATTTCTGAAAAGTCGGCCGAGATCGTGTCTCCCCGCAGTATTTCCCATATCTCCAAGAGCCGGGATGGATTCGCGGGGACCGTGAGGCTTGGCAGCTAAAACACGAATGGTCTAGAACGTGGCTTCGTAGCGAACTAGCACCCGAGTGGTGATTCCTTTCATAACCCCATGAGGCTAGCCGAGCTGATTCGAAACGAGAGGATAAATCAAGAATAGACAGATGGTGCGGAAGCCACTTGTGCATGTGGCAATACATACGCACGAGCTATGATAACTATGCAGTATGCAAGAAAGACCGGGATCGCGAGCCCCGACGAGGCCGGCGAGGCCACGATGCTGCAGACTGGTCTGGCCGTATGCCGGTCCATGCACGAGGAACTAGAGATACGACTTCATGTCAGTAGTCCTATGCAGATCTCCACAAATCTTACACCGAATTGTGCGGAGATGAGGATTCCGGTTGGATAGTCATCATTTATCAGCCGGACGGCTGGATAGCTGGTAGATCATAGGATGGGGAGATGAGGGTCTGCAGAAGCTGAGGCTGCCACTCGACAGCGGAGCGCCACAAGAAAATCGTCTACCGCCACCAGACAGTTTCTTCGATGGCGAAAAGCAACTGTGACAACCTTCGACCAGTTAAGGGCCTTGGCATGGGAGGTTGGTGAGCAGCCATTCGACAGTGAGGTCAAAACGACAAAGACCGAGTAAAGAAGTCGAGAGCGCGTCGCGTGCGTATCCTTTGATAGTCATCCGGACAGGCATTTCATCGTATATGCAACGTCTGGCGTGAAACAAGAAACGTTGGGGGCTTCGAGACATGGTCATCGGCTTGGGCTTCAAGATCCGGCTTTGAAGAGGACAAGGACAAGGACAAGGAACCGCTCGTGTGGCCTCATTCTTCGCGACCCGGCAGTTTGGATAGCTGGAGTCCTGGCCCCACGACTGCCGGATGAATGATTCGCTGGCAAGTCGAAGGGGTGGCAGCCCGGGGTATACGAGCACAAAGCGCCGAAGGACACGGTCAGAGAGTGTGGTGTGGTTAAGTTTTACTCGGAGGTTTTCGACGTCTAGCGGCGGCGATGAGAAACGGAGTTGGACAACGAGCGCCTGACTAAGGTGGACCCTGAAGCCCCGATCACGGGACTGGACCAATTACACTCAAGATAATTAAGCTTCATCTTGGTCCGGGCTGAAGCGCTAATAAGGTTTAGCGACGGTAGCGGCTTGGCACTAAATTATGGGGCTCTAGGAACCGAAAACTTGGGGAAGGTGTCGCCCGGGCTCACTGACTGCTGCCTTTCTTTCGACTTTCCCACCCTCCCTTTCTCCCTTCTCCTCCGAGTCCTCCCCTTCCTCATAGCCAATTCCGGCGACTTCAACGCTTTGTCCCATCTTACGTCTTTTCCATTTCCGGCCGAAACATGGACACTGCCTCCACGTATCGTCCAGTTTACCCCTGAGATCAGACTGCTAGGCCTTCAGAGTCCAGACGATGTGCATTGTCCGAACTTCAGCGATCCATCCGATATCGATGCGAAGCTTCTTCTCTGCGCAGAAGTCGGACGAAAAGCTCACCGAAGAGGCATGTCGTCGAATCATGGCCGCATCATCGAAGGAATAAGCATTCTGCAGCATCCATCAGCTGCGTCAATGTGGCGTACGATAGTCTTGTCAAGTTGTCGGCCTGGCATCGCTCTCCAGTCCCAGTGACAGCCCACCCTCCAGCTTCCACATCGCATCACGTGCTGCAAGACTGCGTCTGGCTCTTTCAACCAGCCTTCAACAACCTGTTGAGGTCGACTGCTGACACCGTATGCTAAGCAATGTCAGCCCGATGACACCAACGAGAAAGTTCTACCTGTCATGGATGACATGAGGTTGGCATGAACCAGGGTGTGCCCCTCCATCATCGGATGGGAAGGATGCCTAGTCGGGATCCGATCAGAGCCGGCTCAAGCGTCGATATAGACCAACTGTAGGCCTGAGTGTGGAGGCCCGCTTCGCACAGAATGCCTGCTTCGAGCTGTTCAGCTCTCATGTTCTTGCAGCTGGAGCAGATACGATGCACCCTTCCACACAACTCCAAAGCCATTGGTCCGGGGCAGCATCCCTGCTCCCGTGTTCTGGGGAACGCAGAGTCCGATTTGTCAATGATCCCATCCACCTTCAACTCGGCAGACTACTGACCCAGTACCCTGGAACCTCTTGCATATCAGCTCCGAGTAGCTTCTTCCTCTGATGTCCATTGGATACACATCAACCTCAGGCTTCCTGCGCCTACCGGTACTGGCGCTCGAGCCGGTACTGTGATCCCAGAATAGCCTCGCTGAGCCATTTTTGGTGCTCGCTCAGTGGCTCGTTTCAACTTAATCGGCTCGCGCTATTGATATCTCGCATTGTCGAAGGTTCTGAGGCTGAAATCGCCACACCAGGTTCAAGAACAAGGGATCTAGACTGACTGAACCGCTGCACTAGCTCTTTCTTTATGGCCTCGACGCCTGGCGTCAACTCCCAGCCTTCTCATGTCGTCTTGACCAGCGTCAGGTTAACCTCCCGTGCCCGGCCGGCAAAAGCTTTTCTTACATTTCCATGCATCAAATGGTGCGCCACGCAGGAGTGGCGCTCGTCTCGGGGGCCTGCCCATTGACCCAACCACAGAATGCACTTCGACGTTGATACCTTGGGTCTGGATGGCTGTCGCTGCCGCCCGTTGACTTCTTTATCCGTATCCTTGATCCACGAGGTTGCAGATGGGCCATGTTCGAGGAAGCAAAGGCACAGCACGTGCTAGAGACTAGCTCGACCATCCTGTGGGCTCCTGCTTCTGCTGAACCAAGATCCTGGGTTGCCGGTGGCCTAGACCCCCCTCGGCATATTCGGACAACAGAGTCACGTCTGTCGCGTGTTTCTAGACTGGCTTTCTTTCTTCACCGTTCAAGAATCTTCTCTTAGATTGCATGCATGGACAACGACATGCCCCACCGACGCCAAACGATGCGATCCATTTTGAAGGACCGTAAGTCGGCCATTGAGCTTTACAGCACGCCCTCTTCAGCCCACCAATCCCAAGGGTATTGCTGGCCATGGAGAGCAGCTCGGACTAGCGATGCTCTTGCTCCAAAGGGCTAGCCGACAGCCTCTGTGCGGGAAACATTTCGATGGAGGTCAACTTTCCACCGGCTCACACCATCGCTAAGGCTGTCGTTGTGGCTTTCTACCTGGGATCCGGCGTGGGTCTTGTCAGATTGGACTGGAACGCCGTAACTCGGTCCATGATCTCGCCCCCTCGACCACCCAGATTTATGATCAAGACGGAAAATGAAAGTTGATAAATACTGGAGTTCTGTCCTTACAGATCAGAATCTTCTCCACCAGTCCCATCGCCCTCATCTCCTTCCAAGCATTTGACAGTTACAAAGGCGTCGCCACCCGTCTTGGCCAGCACTTGTCACTTGCACTGTTTCTCTTGGCTCTCTTTCCTGCATATCGTATTCAATCTCCGCCATGGTCTCTCTCACTCTTCGCCAGTCTCTGGCCATTGTCTTGGCCCTCGCTTCTGATACCCTCGCCAAGGACTGGGACAGTCCAGCATACACATGGCTCTACGAATTTCCCCTACCAATCCCCCCTCCTAAAGAGGAACGATAGTAAGCCCAATCCTCGGCTCATTCTATTGACGAAGATCGCGATGGTTAACTGTCGACAGCCCCAACCAGCCGATCATCAATCCAGTGACTGGAAAGAAGATCAGGTACTATGAGGTTGAGGTTAAGGAGTTCACCGCTCAAGTCTACCCCAACCTCAAGCCTGCCAACTTGGTTGGATATGATGGCATAGCGCCTGGACCAACTTTCCTCATGGAACGTGGGGAGGAAGCTGTTGTTCGCTTCATCAACCACGCCAAGATGGCCAGCTCCGTTCATCTTCACGGCTCTCCTTCGGTAAGGTTTCGAACCATCCACCTTTGAGATAATATCATCTAACCTTTTTTGCTCAGCGCACACCTTGGGATGGTTGGGCTGAAGACGTCTTTAACCCTGGCCAATACAAAGACTACTACTATCCCAACAACCAGAACGCCCGCACTCTCTGGTACCACGACCACGCCATCGACCACACCGCTGAGAATGCCTACTTCGGCCAGGCTGGCGCATATATCCTCCATGATTCTGCCGAAGACTCTCTTGGCCTCCCCAGCGGTTACGGCGTCTACGACATTCCTCTGATTCTCTCTGCGAAACAATACAATTCCGATGGTACATTGTACTCGCCTGCCAACGAACAGACCAGCTTATACGGAGATGTTATCCACGTGAACGGACAGCCTTGGCCGTATCTGAAGGTTGAGCCCCGCAAGTACCGTTTCCGTCTTCTCGATGCCGCCATTTCCCGGACATTCTTCCTCTACCTCGAAGATCTCAAGGCCAACAGGGTCGAATTCGAAGTCATCTCTTCCGACGCCGGACTCCTGACAGGACCCCAGAAGGTCAAGGATCTCTACATCTCCATGGCCGAGCGCTACGAGATTGTCATCGACTTCTCCAAGTACAAGGGCGAGAATGTCACGATGCGCAACACCAGAGGCTTCGCCGCGGATGTGGATTATCTGCACACCGACAAAGTTATGCGCTTTGTAGTCAGCGACGAGTCGGTCAATGACAAGTCCGAAGTCCCCTCCTCCCTCCGCGCCGTGCCGTTCCCCAAGGACAAGACCGGCGTTGACCAGCACTTCCTGTTCCACCGCACCGGCAGCGACTGGCGTATCAACGGTGTCATCTTTGCTGATGTAAACAACCGCGTCCTCGCCAAGCCTAAGCGGGGTACTATTGAGGTTTGGGAGCTTGAGAACAGCTCCGGCGGCTGGAGCCACCCAATCCACATCCACCTCGTGGACTTCCGCGTTATCAAGCGTGTCAATGGCCGCAGCAACACGGTCTTCCCGTACGAGTCTCAGGGTCTCAAGGACGTCGTCTGGGTCGGACCCGGTGAGACTGTTACCGTCGAGGCTCACTACGCCCCCTGGCCCGGTGTGTACATGTTCCACTGCCACAACCTCATCCATGAGGACCACGAGATGATGGCTGCCTTCAACGTCACCAAGCTCGAGGACCTTGGGTACGACGAGGAAGCCTTCGCAGACCCCATGCAGTTGGAGTGGCGTTCCAAGAACGAGAACTCTGATGCATCCAGTTGGGATGCGATCAAGTCACGCATCGAGTACATGGCCAAGCTCCAGCCCTACAACAACGAGCAAGAGGTCGAGAGCCGTCTGGATGCTTACTGGGCCACCAAGACCAATGCGCCTTCCCCAAGCTCGACACCCTCGACTCTGGTCGTCAGCACCACCACGAGCCCAGTGGTCACCTCACCCGCAGCCACTTCTGCCAGCTCGACCATCACCTCCAAGGCCACCACCACCAGCAAGTCTGATGACGACGACAAGAAGAAGAAGACTTCGTCGACTAGCACCAGCACCAGCACCACTTCGTCCAAGAAGAAGCGTGGCATGCGCTTCCGCGGAGTGGACATGGAGATGCCCAAGCGCACCGCCGCGCCCCAGGCATGAGAATGATTAAGTAATCATCACGCACGACGGATTTTGCGGATTTCATTTGTCCATCTCTCCACTTTACGACTGAATGACACAACCCACGCTCCTTATAGACCATTAGATATCCTGTTCCTGAGCACATCTAGATATATTCTTCCTTATTACATAGTACGGGCGGCGGGAAAATGGACAGCCCTCACGGTATTTGTAATGTTATTTACTCTCAATTTAATGCAACAAGGATACTTGACGCGCTGGATTACCTATTGAATGCATGGGTGTGATTGGTCATTTGAGTGTTCGATTTTGAACGTCGGCATGGAAGCTGACATGGTCTGGTTACTAATCCTACCCGAAAGACGGAAATGATGGGAACCGCGTGTTCAAGCGCGCGCGCGCGCGTGCGACTAAAAGTCTTCGATCATGTTCGGCACGACCTTCCAGCCTGCTATGAACAGCGAATTGCGCCTCGAAAGTGCCCAACGGAACATCTACCTTCCTAGGGCCACAGTAGAATGAGTCCAATTGAACAAGTCGATTTTAAAGAATGGAGAAAAAAATTGGTAGCTTCTCTTTGATTGAGCGTGTCATCCTTAGTGCAGGGGCCATGCTACTGTGAGGGAAGTCAGTGACTGATTCCAGACTCGAACCTGGGGGGTTGCAGGGATATGCTTACATCTTCTCTGTATCGTTTCAAATTGACCAAATGCCCGAAGGCAGAATGAGGAGCAAAGTTGGCCGGCTATAAAGGAGAGTGGGGCAGGGGTGTGTGGGCCGGAGCTTCATTGGCGAGGTGATGACGTGCAGCTGGCAGCTGGTTGCAGCTGTTCGACGGAATCTTCTTCCTTTGCTGACGCACATGTTTTGGGACTTGATGCTGAGGGCAAGGATTGAAGAGAAGCTCTCTTCACAGGATATTGTCAGGCCTATCTTTTCCATGTGTGTAATGATCCAAAACGAGTCTTGAAGTTTTGATTGCTGCTTCTGGTCTACGGTAAGGTAAATAAGGTGGTTGTTGGCGATTCATAATGACGTCTCACTGGTGATTTGAGCCATCTCTTTGAATTCAATCCCAAGTTTACCAGGCCGATGAGAAGAATCAGCATCTTGAAGTCAACTCACGAAACAGTCTAAACAAGATATATGCAAGTAATCATTTCATTTCTTTAACACACTTGAAACCCATTTAACGCCAAATTCGATCGAGGTGCATGATTTTGTTATTAAAATTTCGCTAGTAGACTCGTGGAAGACTAATAATGGTGGAAGTGTTAGTACTTACTCCGGTAAATCGTTCAAGACTTTCTCAAATGTGAAAAATTCAAGAAGAGCGCTTACCGATCAAAACTAGCACACATTCTCTCTCTCAGTCAAAAGGCTCAGAGCAATACGATTTCACCCCCGTCCTACTCCCAGGCGAGATGCCACAAGCATCGACAACAGCCTGATCCGCCGCCGCAGCAAAGCACGCATCCTCAAACTCGTTGCCGCCAAGAAAGGGATGCGGGATCACAGGCCACGCGCGCGTGCTGTAGCATTTCGCCTTCTTCTCGCTCCATTTGGATATCGTCGGCGCCGATGGATCGCCGCCCTTGACGCCGAAGAATTTGTCTTGCGGGTATTTGGCGCAGGCGGCTTGTGTTAGGCAAGGGTCTGATCTGGGGACTTGGTCGCTTCCGCACCAGCAGAAGTGGTGTCTGTCGCCGAGGGCTTGTGTGGTGAAGGCGGCCAACAGGAGTGTGATGGAGAACTTCATGGTGGGTTTATGGGTGGTTTGGGTTGTGGAAGGATATGGAGGGAAGAAATAAAGGTGCGGATGGCGTTGAGTCTTTGACTTCAAGGCCAATTGCATTTGTGTTGAATGTCTTAATTGGCAACGTTATCGATTTAGAATATCGCGTCTTAAGTCTATAGTCACATCTCAGTCTCTTAGAGATATAGTTATCTGCGAGTAATAGAACGACTGAATACTCGTTTCTACCCCAGAGCCAATTGTGTACTCGGTGGCTATCGCCATAGCGGAGTCAAGTGGCTGAATGAGTTGCTCATAGTCCTATCAATTTCTTTATATTAGTCCTGGCAGACTTCCCGCAAACTTTGATAGAGGGATCTACACCAGTACTGCCCAGAAGATCGTCGAATAGGGAAACATGAACCAAACGGCAACCCCGAGCCTGACCCATAGTGATCCAAGCTTAGTGGGAACCTTATCAATCACAACATTGACCGACTCTTATTACCCACGTAGAAGCGTTTTTATGCTGTTGGTTCTCGACGTGAAGTTCGATTCGCGTTGAAGTCAATCATCATGAATGTTATCGTAACAAAGTCTAATTAGATGAATGGAGGTCCTTGCTCGATTACACCTTATCACGCAATGATGCTTGCCAATTTTGACGACAGACAGCACGGTCCAGGGAGTAGCTTGCTCGGCGAACATGGAGACTGATTGTTTTGACTTCAAGATGTTTATATGTCTCACGTAAACTCCATAGACTTGAACCACATCGCTCATCGTCACATTTCTCGTCCTTAAGTTTCCGTTGACCCGCTGCTTCGCGCTGAACTCCAGGCACCGTTAGCCTTTGCATCAGTCTTATCAGAGCAACTGCTGGCAGTTCAATCTAGGGACACAATAGCCTGCCATGAACCTCCGATCGTTACTGGCGTTATGCGCTGGGTATCTGAGTGTCTCTGTGGACGCGGCACCGTCTAGCCCTGGCTCCGACTTGCTCTCAGTAGTGAGCCCGCGTGCAAACTGCGTGCCTAGCCAACTTTCGAGCGACACATGGAAGAAGGAGGGCGTCGACAGCTTCTTGGCCAACGCCGCGAAACATTACACAGAATACTCCTCCGATAATGTGCAGGCTCTAGGTGCATACTTGGGCGCCCCTAACTTCTTTTGCGGGGTTAGCCTGTGGTGCAATGCTGGCCAACCGTGTACACCGGTCACTTTGCCTGGGTGGTAAGCCATGCCCTTTACTTCTTATCACCCCTTCGTTACTGACGAGTCACAAAAGGTATGCCTTGATGGGTATCCAGGGCTGGAACAATTACGTCAACAATCTCAACCTCGCTGTAACCTACGCCGCCACCATCCTAAGCCTGAAACTCGCAAAGGTAGTCAACGACCTGTGGCCAGCAAAGAAGGACAACGTCACCCCCATGAAGCAGTTTCTCGCATGGGTCAACGGAATCCTAAACGCCTTCCCAACAACAGCAGCACTCGGCGCCACCGCGGGCAGCATCGCCAGCACCGTTCAAGGTGGCAACATTATTGCGGGTGGGATGATGCTCGCGCCCAGCGCGGGCGGCCAGTTCCTGCGATGGAGCGACCTGTCGAGCCAGATGGGCGGCAAAGTCGACGAGTACAAGCAGGCGATCGGAACGTACGCGAAAAAGGTCATTGACGCGCCCATCGACAACCCGACGTGGGGCATCAACAAGGTCCTGAGCGGCGGCGGCTTCCTCTCCCGCCAGACGAACATCACGCAGGACGATTTCGACACGTGGATGTACAAGACTGTCAGCGTGAACGCCATGGCTTTGCTGATGCAGGCGCAAAATGTGTACATTATCCGCACTTTCAACAAGACGGCGTGCGATGACTCGTCTGCTGCTATCCTGTGCAGGCAGGAGACGAACAGCAAGTGGACTGAGTGGAGGTTCCAGAGGCATGACAGCGATGATGATGTACCTGAGCACCGGCTTGCCGAGAAGCTTATACAGACGTATGGGCTTACCAAGGAGGAGATCTTGAAGGGGCCTGCGGACTGCTTTGATAAGCATGATTATGAGCAGCTGACGAACCCGTGGGAGACTGTGTCGGAGAAGGGTGTCGGCTTGGAGCCTGTGCAGTTGTGCAACTTTAATGTTAATGTCTGTAACATGGACGCGGCGGAGGGGGGTGAATATGGGCCTACTGATGTGTATGAGCCTGGGCATTCGGATTGGATGTGTGAGCTGCAAGGAATTACATGGACTTAAGAACGAATACGGACTAGATCAACCCATGAGAACTGGTTAACAGAATGTGGTGGAGATTGAGCTGGAGGCCCGTCAGTATAACATCATGCCAAAATACGCTACAGAGAATGGAGCATAGACTAAATACTGAGGTGATCCCCGATATATATGGCGAGTTGAGGATATCGAGAGCAAGACTGCTCATCATCTTCATTCCCCTTGACGTTTACGTCTTTATCGACTGGTGGTAAATTTCTTCATCTCTAGCCTTTGCAGACTCGCCGTCACGGTCCCTGGCTGCTTCGTATCACGTGGAAAGCGGCTTCCAGTCAAGAAGCAAGGCATAAGAGGTCTGCCTCGCAGTTATACCAACACGAACGTGACTCATCTGGCTGTTCCGACATGGTGGGGGGGGGGGGGGGGAAGAGTTGCAAACATAGGTGATCAAATCTGCCAGTGAGATTTGAGAATCTTGTAGTTGCTTCTGTACGATGAGTGAGGACCGCACACGTTATTCCTATTAGTGAGAGTAAGGCGAGAAAGCCGTAGATTCCATTGGACAACGGAACCACGTGTGCGTTATCCCACGTACACTAGGATTCCTGGAGTCTCTGCGTGGAGATGTGAAGGCTTGAGCAACGGAAAACCTCTGCTTTCAAGCTCAACCGGGCAGCCCAGTCATACCATCAGGCGGCAGGTATTCCCTCTGACTGCAGATTTCGGGCATTCAATTCCACACACAGGATGTAGGACCCCCTTTTCAGTTGACGCTAAATGTAGGGTGACGGGAAACGACAGGGATCGTCGATTCATGCGGCATCGCTGCATTGGCGGCGCTCAGCTGGGCCTACGCCAGGGTCGCCGAGTAATACCTATCGCGGGTACAGTACCCCGAAAAGTGATTGATGTACAAAAGGGACCGGGACTCCTTCCGCGAAGCATAGTCTGCAGACCTCACAGCTCCATGCATTGAGTCCCCCTTTCTCATGAGAACTCAATTTTTGGCTGAATCCCCACTCCGGATCACAATTACATCGCAGAAGAATCCTCATGGTATCGCGTCCATCACTGGTTAATCTTCATTATTGCCCATTATACTAACTACTCGGCAGGCACGAAGTACGATTGCTCAAGCAGCCCAGTCCAAGCAGCTCAGGCAGCTCTATATCGACCCGAGAGAGCAATAACGTCGCGAGCGTGATTTAACCGCGAAGAACAACAGCCTGGTGGACCGCACTCATCGATCACCTCGACGAGAATTGCCCAGCTGACGGCAGCTGGTGAAACGTGGCTGGAAGCGAACCATTTCCGACATCAAGGCAACTGAACGCCTCGTCAGGCGCCGGCAGGCCATTGCTGCCTGGGTGGTTAACGTCACGATGCATCGCGAGGCGGAATCCAAGGCGAAGAGTGAAGCGAGCAAGTGCGGCGGAAGGCCTGCAGCCATTATCACCCTGCATCATGCAGTAGCAAGCACCCGATAAACGCCAACATCCCAACGACTGGGCTACGTTCATCACGAGAGGCGGCTGGCTGCTGGCATCGTGACGATTACTGCAAGCTCGAGTTAACCCGCATAAATGACGGCAAATACTTTCCATCACCGCAGCCGGAGCCTGCGGTCAAGCGACTCAGGACCACCACGGCCAACTCCATCTCTATTCCCTACTCGCTCCGCCGCCCAGCCAATGTTGGGAGGAGAATGCTGAAGTATTGCATCATGGCCTGTTGCAGGAAGCCGCGCATGATTGGTTCTTCATCATTCAGCCTGGTCGATGCATAGGCGCCGAGGCAGGACGAGGAATCTCTTTAATTGGTAGCAATAGCGTGGTTGAAGTCAACTCGTGATTCGGCTAGAAGGCTATCCCACTAAGCATAGTTGAGATACGTCGTCTCCAAAGCAACTGCCGATTTGTTCTATTGTTCATGGAAGTCGTTATCAATCTTCATTTCGGACACAGGGTTGACAAGGTACGCTGGTTGACTTTCAGCGGTAGTCCAGCCGTGACGAATTGCAATAACGGTCTAGAGATCAGTCATCTCCAGATGCTGTCGTAGGATCGCGACAGGGACTAGTCTCATTGACGGCACTACAGAGGCTACAGATCATCCTTTGGCAACTTTTTCCGACATAGTCTTGGAATATAATGGAACGATAAGACCAGACATAACTCACCTGGCTTATAGCTCTCACTTCCAGCCGACTTCACGGCGTACGGCGGGCCCTGAGCTGTATTGAGGCTCGGCCGAGACTTCACTAGGTTGATAATGCTCGCTCCTTGCATATCACAAGAAATCACGATTAACATGCAAACTGACGGCGGGGGTCAGACTCTAGACGAGCGCAAGCCTGGCCAACGAGGCCGGCTCGTGGTTACACAGACACTTCTAAGGACGCAACGACTCGGCCGGAAGTAAAGAGCCCCGCATCGAACTACCCACTCACACCCAACTTCGAGTCCGTCCGGCCCCGCATCTACTATCTTGCCTTCTTTGGGGCAATGCTCGATATGAAATGATTGTCGAATCGCCTTGCTTCTGTATGTCGTCCAGCATCCTTGCCATGTGGTGAGTTGGATGCGCGTCCAGGTCGTCTTGACTCCGTCTGTATAGCCGGGCTCTTTCTGCGTTGGCGGTTCGCACGACGTTGCGCCAGCAGTATTTAAGGAGGTAACTTTGGTGGTTGTGACAATGTTCACAGTGACATGTACGCAGCAACTACCGAGTCCGCGCTTTTCACACAGAGTCTGGCGACAAGCTTATCACGAATTTGATATTCGGCAGAGAGAATAGCACCAATTAGCGATCAATATGAACTCGAACTCTGGAAGGTATGTGCGCAATGGGTACAACTGCAGTTCCTCAAACTCGCTCTTTTCGAAGATACACGCGTTACCCGCGGCATAAGTGGTCTGGTGTAGTGTGTCATTCCAGCCGTTCTGAGCCCAAGCCTAGACATAAGCATTCGACAGCAGAGTCGCAGGGGAGCATATCAGGTCAGCAGATGGACCTGTATCAATCTCAATCGTCATCGGAAGACAGCAATGCCTATCGCGTCTCGTACCAGAGCACTGATAAAAACGCAACGGTAGCGCAGCACAGGAGCAGGATTGCCGCGGATTTGGCGACGTTCGCAGGCCAATACCGAGGAAACAATCCTGATTGGGGGTCCGACACTCCATGTTCATTCATTTTGGAGTTATGACGGACGACTTGCGATAGTGGTGGCTCTGCTCCGATTGTCCATCAAAGGGAATGGTAGAAGGATTTTTCAACTAACTACAGAGCATCATCAGTGTACCACTGAGGAAGGCTGAGGAGCTCGCGGCGCATATTGTCTTGCTTGGGTTTGGGGTGCAAGGCGTTCATTGGGAAGGGTGTCGGGCATGGTACAGCCCCGTTACTGCTGCATCGTCGAGTGAGGTTCTCAGGTTATCTCGGAGCGGGTTGTCGAAAGAGTAGTGTCGTCTCTTTAAGAGCTAACATATTGAAATTTGAGTTTGCCTCTTTTTGTTCTTTTGAGTAAACCGCGACTTGGCTTTGTGCTGCCTGACTGATCGTGTCATCTCAACAACGTGGTCTCTAACCACCGGATTGAGAGTGACACTGAAAGCCTAAGCACTTGGGAGTAAAGAAGCACGCAATGTCTATCACAATCCACTGCTGCATACTGTAGGCTTTGCTGGCTACTCAGGTGCGCCGCAAAAGCGGCCGATGGGGTTAATTGCAAAGGCAGCACACGCGGGCAGGTGATGCAGGGCTCGAGACGCTTAGAGGGATGGGCAGGCACAAGGCACACTCCTCTTACGGAGAAACTTCGGTAGGGGGCAATATATGACTAAGGTCTTCGCCAACGCTGATTGTGTTCTTCCATTCAGCCTTAGACCTAACGAATTTGGGGACTAAGAAATGCGTGTCACAACCAGTGCCTGCCGTCCTATAGTTACCGAAGTCGGCGCGGGGGCCCACTTTCGGTACCCGAATGGGGCCGACATTGCTGTGGGGCGTCGGTCACCGGGCTTCGCACCAAGCTCTCGCTACTTTGATCAACATGGCATTTTTAATACTTGAAACAAGAGGACATGGCTCCTCTTCTCGATGTATTCTAATTCTACAAGCATTACGCTCGTGACGGTCAGATTCATATCGTCCCAGCAAGGCGTGGCCCCCAAAGCTTTCGGTACGATCATCGGGAGCCGGACTGATACTCGGTCATATTTCTTAAGGCTCCTTACCTTACCTTGCCTTGCCTTACATTAAGGTTGGTAAGGTAGGTATGTTGTGCCAGCGAATCTTCCAAGTGCAATGAATCAATGCAGCCACATAAGGTACTCATGCGAGGTAAGGTAAGGTAGGTAACAGGACAGAGGTGCTCAACCTCAGTGCTCACGGGTCAGGGCAGTCTCTCGCTGACTGATTGGTTGGCGTACGAAAGGTGTATAGGGCTGAGTGGACGCTTCGGGCCTTCATTGGGTCGTTTTCAAAGGGAAAGCCCTGCTGCCTGGAGGATTCCCGTACTTTGACCAATAAAGATGACCGTTGGGGCGGAGCACACCACACAGGGATACCTACGCGCAGCCGTAGCCAACCGGATGTGAACTCTTGCGCTGATGAGACGTCGAGTCCTGATGCCATCTTCATTTAAGTCCTCGAGATTCCCATCCCACGTCCACGGAGTTTTGCTCTAGCACTTCTTTCCCGGGAACCTGGATTCTCCTGATCTTTAGCATCGCTCCATGCTTTTGGGTCGGCCCTACATATACGTCTACCCATTCCCGTCCCCCTCCCTCTCGCTTTGCGCTCTGGATGAACTCTTTCGGCCCCCAATTCTAACCCGCCAAATCGACTATCTTCTACCGAACACCATATTTTGGGACAACACCTACAAACAGAAGTCCGGACGACTCTATTCAAATCACTTTTTGAACAATTCTACGACTTTCATCTCAATCTTCACGCTTCCTCGACCTCGATGTTCCATGTTCAGCAAGACCACCTGAGGGCACCCGGCAGCACTTGGCCAGGCATCCGCCGAAACCGCGAGGCGACTAATGTTTTAGGCGACCCATCAGCGGACAACTTCCTTCTAACGAGGCAATTCGGACGCCTTCCTCAGTTTGCGAACCATTGATGCCTTGGACAAGGCATCGCGAGGCAGTAAACGAGGCGGCTGGCGACCTGCTGGATGCCCCGCGCGGAGGCCTCTTGCCCGCGTCACGTAGCATCATCTGGAACTTGGAAGCGCCCCCTGTTTCTCAACGCATTTTTCTCATCACCACCTCATCGACGATTGGGTCTCATTCACTCTCGGCAAGGCAGACTTTATGCGCCCCATCAATGAGAATCGGCTCATCGCATTGGATAGCGCTTACATCCAATCTGCACTGCCTGAGGATTTTTTCCACTTCCCTTCATTTGCATGAGCTCACCTCAGGAGCTTTCCCTCCCAATCCTTCTCAAGTCATACAGTCCTGACGCCCGCCCGCCAAAGTTGGCAGGTCTCTGTTCGTATCACAACGAATGGCCGCAGTCATTAATTAACCTCGAATAGGAAGCATCTTTCATCCCGCATGCCTGCGACTCTCAGTCTCTCATGCACGGGACTTTCGATCGTCCAGTGGGACACCAGAGAGATCGAGGAGCTTGAAGTCAAGTCCACCAGACTCAATGGCCATTCATTTCGCGTATCAGCCTGCTACCTGGCTGATTTAGCCGGACGAACGGATTTCGTCACTGCAAGTTACGATCAACTTGATCTGGACCGGCCCTGTCAATGCTCCAGCTTCGTTGCAGACAACTTGCGATACGAAGATCTTCGAAGGTGTCCACGCGCTTGGGTGACCAGTGTTGATGGATCTTTCAAGCGAAAGATACACCTCATGTCAGATGCTTGACATTGCCAAACCTATGGAAAAGCATTTGGTGCTCGCCCCCGTTGCATCAGAGGGCTTGAGCATCTATGCTTGCGGTTGAGGATGCTATCACATCCAATGCTATACCACCTTACTTCACAAACAGCACAATGTATGAGCTGCGATTTATTGGAGCCACAACGACTCGACATTCCAACTTCACTACCTTTGCAGGTAGACCGGCACACTGCTTACGAACACTCAACCTGCGGGACCCATTGTGTGCTTGGAGTGGGGGCGGAACAGACTGGACGCCTTGCCAGGCTGAAGGTAGCTAACATGAACCAGACAACGATTGGACCACACGATTGAATCCTTCGGCAACCTCGCCCCCCCTGGCCGGGGACCTGCTCCCTCGATTCGAATGCCACGCCTCCCCTCAACGTTACTGCCCATACTGCGGCATTGTAGTTCAGCCGACTCTTCGACTTGGTGTCGGGTAGCCATTTGACCCTTCTATTCGTTGAACGGCCGCATTCCACCTGACGCAACCCCATCGCAAAGACACTCGCCTTTCCCCTGGGGCAAGCTCAGCCATGCAAGGGTCGGGAAGTGTATTATGTTTCCTTCAAACCACGACTTTGGATAGCAATGGTTCGCGCGCTCTGCAAGCTTACCGTATTTAAACCTGCCAAGTTGGATCCTGAGGAACCTCCATAATACACACAAACCAACGACCAGATTCGCAACCTCACGAACACCTTCCTGATACCTTGACAATCAGTCATTCACAAAGATTCACGTCCGCAACTCCGCATACGCCACCCATCCTTTCCACAAGCAAACATGGCGCACTCTGGACAGTCAGCTAATAGCGGGTACAAGATCTGGCCCCGGACGATGGATGTGAGGGGAAAAGAAGCGCGTCAGGCCGATATACTAATCCAACGGGTTCTAGCCATTCCTCCTCAAAGGGATCACACAAGTATTCGTCCAAGGAATCCAAGAAAGAGCTCGCCCAACGACGAGCTTCAGTGTACCACGACCAACCAGCTTCCGATGAGCCAAGTGCATATGGCGCCGCGTTTCGAAGCGAAGACGTCGCCGCGAGTGAGGCGCGCCATCGGGCTAGAGCCGCAGAGAACATTGCAAGGATCATGGGCCACAACGGCGGAAAGTAGGGGATGATTGGCATAGTCCTCCGTATGGGAACCGCGGCGGGAGAAACGTGTGCGAGTGGCACAGGGTGGATGCGGTACGACTGGATCAGACTTTAATCCTGGTCATGTTGGCGTTGATCGCCCGTGGCTACGATGCAGACGCCGAGATGAAGGAGAACTGATGGTCGAGAGGCGTTCATGGGAAGGGAAAGATACCATAGATTCCATCGTCGGACGACTTTGGTCTGCTTCTGTAATTTGTCTAATTGAGCATACATTCGTGTTTCCAATTCTGCTACATTTCCCGCATGTGGCTGTTTCCAGCACCCCATCCACCCTATCCGTTCCATCACAAAGTACTTGTGGCGTCGTGCTACCTAGCGAGGCTTCTACCACTCATGTTTGTTGGCTTACCGACATGAACGACAAGAATCATCATCAGGACCCTCCACGTCGTACTGGTTAGTACCTCCCGATCCCCTGCCAAGGAAAGACGACTGCCGCTCCAAGTACAAGGGAAGAAGCAGGCTCGGCCTGTAAGGTAGTCGACTAGAGAAAGAAGGGTGCCTGGTGCTTTTGGGGCCATGGAAGCTGAAGAAAATGCAGTTTCAATGTTGTTCCTGCTTGCCCAAGCTGCGTTAGCGCCTCACGTTGTGGTGTTCCTGCTGATGACGGCAGATCAGTCTCTCAGTCAGGAAATGAAGACGAGGCAGGCACATGTCAAAAGCTAAGAGGTAGGCAGGCACGACGACGGGTGACTTCCTGCCTTGCCTGGTCTTTCTCGGATGACAAGCTCCGTCCTCCGCTGCCCCCTCCAATCCCGCCCACCTTGACGACACCTCTATCCAAACTGCACATTGTATCAATCGTCATCGTAAATCTTTTGCAGACAATTGGTCTTGTTGATTCAGTATCAAAATCACATGCTCGCAGAGGCATCAGCAGAGTATATCCGAGGTAGTGACCACTTCAAACCGCTAGGCAGTACACGATCAACAAAAGACTCTTATTCGATATCATCTACACCCCAAACCTCGCGGCTAGCCAGAGACCCACGAGCCCTTCCTTTTCGCATCAGTGCGATACAGCACCCATTAAACCGCCACGGCCTTCAAGAACGCCCTGCTCTCGTTGCCCTGAGTCACCTTGGCGACAGGCGTGAGATGAGCCTCGTCCGCCTCGGATCCCCCCTGCAGTTGTCGAACATACGCCTGGGCAACTCTGAGCCAATTGGCCTTCTCTCCCCGGCTTGCACCCTGTCCCTCCCACACCCATACAGCTCGGCCCGCATCGTCCAAGAGAAACACGTCTTGCTCTTCAAAGTCCGAGAGGGCAGCCTTGCTGCCATCCTTGACGAGGTCGAACCTGAGCTCCCCAGAGGCGTCGCTGAGACGGAACAGCTTCTGAGGTCGCTCGCCGGCGTGTGCCTTGGATGCTGATCGAACTGGTCTGGGACAGTGGAAACCAGACTGAGGCGTATCGTCGCTGCCTCCGAGAAGAGTGACGATGACGCGAGATCTCGATTCCTCTTGGGCCAGAACCTCGACGTCGATGTGCTTTGCCAGCGTCATGTCGTTGACAACCTGAGCAGCCTTGGCCTTCTCCATCGGGCTGCAGCTCTTGCCCTGCCACTGCCAAATTTTGTCGCCAGTGTCGAGCACGAAAACGTCGTCCTCGTCCAAGCTTTGCCACGTTGGCTCAACTTCGTGCACAACAACGCCGTTGGCACCGACTGACGGGTTCTTGAAGATACGCAACAGGGTAAGAATCTCCTCCTTGGGCTCCTCGTCTTCGACATGACGGAAGCCAGATCTCACTCCACCAGAGCGGATTTGGATGCGAGGGAAGAGCTCAAGGAACGCATCAGACGGCGCTGACTGCAGCTCACGATGCTGCGTCGCCGCCCCGTGTAGGAACTCATCGAGCTCTACCGTCTTGTACGCAGCGGTACCAGCCTCGTCCTGCGATGTATGGGCACCGAGCCAAAAGAAGATGCCATGGCCTAGCTTCTCGGCATCGTCTTTGCTCCCAACCTTGTATGAGTTAAGGACGATGTAGCTGTCGCCATCCATAAACTGACCATACTTCTCCTTAGGCCATGGCTTGACCTCGAATTCCTCGATACGCCAGACATAAAGCCCGGCAGCTTGGCCAACCTTGCCTTCATTCCAAGCTGGCTCGGTAGCGGCGGAGTTGTACTTCACTTGGTGGTCAATGTCCGTGCCAATGAGCTCGACATTGCTGTCCTTGATGTCGTACTCAGTCGGATGCACAAGGCCTTGGTTTGGCGCCATGATTGATTAATTCGATTTTGCTCAAAAAATCTAAAGAGATTGGTCTAGTTGTTTTCCACGATTGATTCGCTTGCCAAAGTCTGAAGAAGAAATCGAGGTTGAAGATGACGGGGGGAGAACCAGGAACAGCGTTTCAACGAACGTCATGGCACACACGGACGCTGTCTGTGGCTCAGCCAGTCACAGTGGATCGAAGCTCCTCAGCTTGTGCGGGGATCAGCAGTTTCAATTGGGTCGATCTGCCAGCTTTCCTTGCGGCTGTATCGCGAAGCCACACGAGATCCATCAATGAGGTACAATGCCCCACGAACGCCTCAACCAAGTCCCTCAAAGCCTCCAGCGCCAGCCCAGCTTCCATGATATTTGCTGTCTAAAAGTGGAAACAATACTCGATATGTCAAGGGAATAAAACAAGGAAAATCAACTCGCAGCATTGACCTCAGCCTCAGCCTCAGTTGAAGGGAGTGCTGAAGCCCAGCCAATCCGACTCTGGGTCTGGTACTCCGGTTGTCCTCATGGAATCGCCGCCTAACCCGCTCATCACTTGTGGCTGCAATAAATTCGTCTGGCCGTTGGTTGCCCGTGAGATTGGCTCGGACATCTTGGGATAGTTGAAAAAGTCGAAAACGTCAATGTTGTCCAGTTCGCTCAACGAAGTCACTTGAGTCGATGTCGGTTCCATGCCGGAGCGTCGTGTGGAGGATGTCAAGGTTACCAGATCGTGGGCACTCCTGAGGCATTGCTGTTAGCACGGTCCGGGCGCGGTAAGACATCGTATGGGTTTACTCACTTCCTCATCGCGGTAAAGCTCATGTCGCCTTGTCGCCCTCGCTGTACCACCCGAGCGAGAATTTTGGCGTAATTGTTTGCTACCTCCCAGTACTGTCCAACATGGCGAAGCGTTTCGATGAAAAAGTCAATCTTGGGATCAACGGGACACCCAACAGTTGCGGCGTGGATAAGCAGCAACCTAGCGGCTACCCACAACGAAAAGGCGAATGGCGGCCCCAAGAGATCCAGACCGTTGGCCTCGAAGACGTCCTGCGCAATATCGCCGAGACTTTGCACGGCAGACAAGCACCTCTGCATGGCATAGTGCGATGGGACGAAGATGTGAGATCTCACAGTGGGGTACGCAGCCGAGGAATGCAGACGCACCACAGACGTGACATATGCGCTATGCAGCATGAACCAGTTGGCGACGCGGCTCGCGGGATCTGAATGGCACAAAGCCGAGATCCTGCTATACTCGCTGGGCAAGCTTTGCAACCAGTTGTCAAGCGCACCGTCCAGCGATCTATATGTGTTCCGCCAAACGGCCATTTCTGACGACGATGTTACGTCAATGGGTGTTTTGAGAAAGTCGTGGACCTTGCTCAGTATACGCAGGATCTCGCAGTGGTACGAGAAACTGCCGAGGTTTTCGGGTTTATTGATAGTCGGGCTGCCGGTTTGGTCGGATGACGGACTCCATGACTTCGTCTCAACGGGAACGTTTCTCGAAAAGAGGTCGTATGAACACGGCAAACCGCGCTTCATCTTTTTGTCGTCGAGCATGAAGTCGAACGTCGTTGTCGCGATCGTCGCGTACCGATCAAGAAGATAAACCATCCAGCAAAGCCGTCGACGACCCTCGTCTTCGATCCAAGATTCTGGCCGACCCATCGCCACTCGACGGATCGAGCCCGTGTGCGGCGTCTCCTCTGCTTCGGCCGTGAGATACACGCTGCTCTCTTCGCAGAGTTCCAGCTGTCTCACGTTTTGCGAGAGCAACGCAAGCATGTTCCAACCGCGCGGCCCATTTGAGGTCCCCAACTCGTCTAGGCAAAGTATCACCAAAGCCCTCAACGCGGCAATGCTCACGTTCTCCATCGCGTATATCTGCACCCTGTGTTTCGACACTGCATGGTAGTGTGACCGCATGTCGGGCGACAACCGCGGGTCTTTCATAAACCTGAGCGTCGTTGCTACTATGGCATGTAACAAGACACGATCGGCTTCGTTGAGGGAGGTCGAACCAAAAAATGCACCAAATGTCGTTTTGCGATCCAAGATTGGACACCACGTGTTGCAATGTTTGAAGTACAGGTCGACGAGCGTGTATAGCATGTCGTGAGGCGGGAATTCCGAGACAGTCGGGACGGAAGATGGATCTTTTCGAGGCCCGTTGACGCTGGGTGATGCGCCTGCTTGGCTGAAGGACTCGCCTGCGGATAGATTCAAGAGAGCCTGAACCGAAGTTCTGTCACCATTCTGCAACGCCTCTTGCGCATCACCGCCCTGCCAGAAAGGGCTCGAGAAGGCTGGCGTTCTTCCGTTCGTCGTTGGCCCCCCTCTTGGAAGTCCGGGAGCTGGACTGACGCCATTTGCATTTCCATCAGGACGGAATCCCTCGATTTGAGATGGCGCCTGATTGCTGATGGATGGCGAATGAGCCTGTGATGTGGCGACGTGGTCGTGGGCAATGTGATCTTCTACACGACGGCCAAGAGCCTGCAAGAGAGCATCGAGCCTGTTGACCTTTGCTTCAAGTTCAAGACTGAAACCGATACGGCTACCCGGCTTCTGTCTTTCGAGATAGACGCATGTTCGGTTGTGACGGGCACACCAGGAACATGCGGGCTCTGCACGATCGCACTTGACTTTCCTCGCCTTGCATAGTTCGCATCTGGATTTGCGTCAGTCGATGGCCATGCATCTCATTTGGGGGGCCACACAATCAGAAGCGCACAACATACGATGTCTTTTGGTGCTTCTCCCTCTTACGCTTCCTCGGTGCACCGGCCGAGCCATTGTTGGTCGTGTCTTCACCACTTGAGCCCTCGTCGTGGCTGAACACCGAGTTCGCTTCCTCCTCGGCCATTTGTTGCGGACGTGCATTCGTGTCTAGCATATCTGTCCCATGGTCGTGGGAACTCCACATTTCCCGTTTTTACTTTGATGGACTGCGAAGGTGTTGCTCTTATCAGGGCCCTTTTTAGATGGAGCCGTGAGGAGCCTGGCCGAATTTGATGTCAGGAAGTGGTCATTTCACTCACGAGCGGGCGTGCAGCAAGCAGTAAAAGGCAGGCTAGCGAATTGCCTCAGCCGGCCGGGATGCTGGAGAGAGTGAAGGATTGCGCCGCAGCACCTTGGGGCGCATGGGGCATATCCGGCCTTGTCCGCGTTGGTTGGCCGGGTCGATGGGCGAAACGTGGGCAGCCGAATCCAGGAGCGAGTCTCAGTACCGTCTGTGTGTATACGGAGTAGTAGTGCTGGTGTCAGCGCTGCAGTCGCTGCAGTGTCAGTCAGTCCAGTCAGTTTGTTGTGTGCGCGAACCTGCAGAGTGCAGTCTGCAAGTCGAAGCAACGAGTGGAGAGAGATGGAAGACAAGCACCGAGTCTTCAGCGAGAGGCAAAAAGGACTAGTCGACTAGGTGGAAAAGACTCGGGAAGCCAAGGCCGCGATGAGGGACTTTGTCAGCAAGCGCTCGAGTGTCTGAGTCTGACCAAGTGTGAGAGGGGGACGGGGTCCTTCGGTGTTCTCTCCCGACACGCCATTTGAAGAGAAAGCTGGCACGGAGGGCAGAAAAAAAAAAGAGAGAGAGAGAGAGAGAGAGAGAGAGAGAGATCCAGTTGTCGGCCCACTCTCGTCCACAATAAGAGTTGGATCTCTTGCGCAACTCTGTCACCGTCCCTTACTTTACGCGGTCTGACCGTCCTGTCTGTCTGCGCTGCCAACTAATATCGGGACAAACATAGTATACATATTACATACAAAGACTGCGGAAGACGACGGAACCGTGTACAGTACCAGATGAAGACTCCGCCGTGCCGCCAATGCGCACCAACCAACCACTTACGCCCGGCATCCTCGTTTTCCCGGAAACCCATTACACACAGCATCCGCCCACAGCATGGGATGGACGGAACGGACGAGGGGAGATCGCTGCATCCAATGATGAGCCCTTGGGGGCGATTACGATAACCAGAGCCATCTCCGAAGCCACCAGGCATGACACTGGCACGCTGGTCACTACATACAACGGAACAACGGTGCTAATACAGACTACCGCAAGACATGCAGGAACCGCGCCGCCTCTGTTAGACAGTTCCCCTCAATCTTCTTCTCCAAGTTTGCTACCGAAAACCCCCCTCCCATACGGCAAACAGCGCCGCACCCCGGCCACTCCGAACTCTCCCCCGCTCCCTATGGTTCCCCTGTCAAGCCTGCTACCGCGAGGATCATCCATGGGGCGATGCAACCGTCAAAGGTGGGGGTAAACGGCAGTGGCTTCGACGATGTCTTCTTCCACAGGCCCAAGACGCAGTAGTCACCGGGTGGCTGATAGGTAGGCTACAAGCCTACAGCTAACAACGCCCACAGCGAGAGGAGGTTCCTTCTTCAATACGCCCCCGGAACAAGGCCGCGCAGCACTCTGAGGATTGCGATGAAGTCACTGCATTCCGCTTCTGCCTGCTTCACGACTCAGTTCGAACGGGGTCATTGATGACGATTTACGCTCCGATCATCCGGATTTTACAAGGAATATGCGCACGTGGATACGGGTCAAGACAGCAATGCAACCGCGGCTTTCCCTGAAGCCGTTGACTTGGCACTCTTACAAAAGACTTGCATCGGTGAACAGGGCATACGAACCAACTTCTGGCGCACAAAATCGAGTTTGCGACAGAGGCAAAATGCGTCATAATGCCGTGCTACCTATGATACAGATTGGATTTTTCTTCTCCAAACGGCGCCGGATAGCATGTGCGTGCGCCCATCGTGATTGGACCTTCCAAACAACAGACTGTGGTATATCGAAACGAAGAAAAAGAAGACATTATCACGTGAAGAACTCCCAAGCAAAACCCTTCTAGCTCGACCAGCCCTTGCTCATCTGGACGGCCTTCTCCCAGCGGCCGAAGCGCTCAGAGGCATCCTCTTCGGAGATCTGGGGCTTGAAGATGGTGCGGCCCTCAAGGTTGACGTCCTTCAATTCATCGAAGCTCTTCCAGACG